AACCCCAGCTATCCGAGCAAGAAAGTTTACTCAGCTTCTGCCTTTTAGTAGCCTAGCCCTTGCTGTCCCTCATAAATGAGTGTCTAGAGAAGAGCATGCTTCTGTTTAAGCTGTTATTCAGCATATCCAGCTGTTTAAACAGGCAGTGACATACTGCACCAGGCATCATTAAATCCTGCTTTCAGACAACTAATCAAGCCATCAGTGAAACTTCGCAATTAAGATTTGTAATAAAGATTTCTCCAAGAAATCTTTGTTTAACAAAGGAGAAGCTAAACTGGAGCTGTCTGAAGGAGACATAACTGTCCCCACGTTGTCAGCAGGGGCCACCACCCCACAGCTCTGCATACCACCCTGCTTCCAGGCACTGGTTGTGCAACACATAGCCCCAGATCTCCACAGCCCAGCTTCGACTGTTCCAGTAACTGGACAGAAATGCAGGCCAACAAACCTCAGGAAGAGAAAAACCACACTTGTCCAAGAGCCCTTTTCTGCATGAAGGGCAGACTGCAGCTCCACACTAGGCAAGAAGGGCAGTGTCTGCTCCAAACAAACCTGTCCTTCAGCTCATGGAGCAGCACTAAAAACCCATCCTGCTTCTGACACAAAACCTAAAGACGTGTAAGTTATGACGCATATTTCAGAGTGCTTTTAACAAAGAACAGCTGGGCTAGCAACTTCAGTTATTAGGTTAACGGACCTGGTTGTAATCTCATGCTAATGATGTGTGTATAGCTGTTTCACAGTGATATAAAACATAATTAGTAAGCTGCTTATGCAGATAGTACAAATGAAATTTGTTGGTTTGTTTGTTTTTTTTTTTAACCTTTAGTTTTCTAGTTAGCATGGATTTTTAATACAAGAATAGGGTTACTTGCAGTTATATTTTAAGAATTAGTACTACCATCAAAAAGACATTTATTTTCTATATCCCAATTATTTTCTATATCCCAAGTGTCTTTTTCCAAAAAAAAAAAAAAAAAATCAACAGTGGACCAACAGAATTGCAACTTGTGCTGGGAAGAACACTAGAATACTTTTCAAAGGACAGCCTGTAAGAGCTGGTGGGACAACCACTACAAGATAGGGGCTTTCTTCAGAGTTGCCCTATAAATTCGGATGTTTTAAGTTAAAAAAAGATTCTACTATTTAACTTTGAATTATTAAGGAAACAAATATGTAATTAATTTGTTCTCCATTACGAACACATTTATGCATTTCAAAGAAATTACAAAGTAATCCACAGCATCTTTAAACCATACTTGAGTAGAAACAGACTGAAATGATTGAATATGCTAACTGCGTAATTTGCCAATAATAGCTAATGATCAGCAGGTACATAAGTGTCTGCAGTCACATTTGCAAACATTTCATCAAAATATTAATTGAAATACATCCATATACTCAGACACTGAAAATATGAAAAAAGATGTTACTCTCATGATCATCAAAACAAATATATATCCCGTTTCTTTAATGGACTGCTTATTCTTCCCCAGCTACTGCAAATTTTAATAGAAATTCCAGCTGCTTGAAATAATTTGGGGGTGAACCAGAGATTTGACATATTTAGTCTGTTCATGCACAATATAAACCTTACTTCAAAAAGTTAATTAATCGTAAGGAAATACTTCAGAAGTAGTTCTGTTAAAGAACCAGAAGTCTGAACACCACAGCAATGTCAGACTGTGCTCGCAAGCACGTATTCCTCAAAGATTGTCATTTATCCTATAGAGCTACGACATTCCTACACATACAGACAAATTCCTGTCAAGTTGTGCTTTCTGCTGAAAGGAACTACGCTCTGTGTATAAGTTAAGAAGGAACAGAGATTCTTCACTTTCAAAGTTGCTCTCCTTGCAACTGGTCCCTCAAGAACTATAAAAACAGATGTTATGAATGAAAACAAAAATGCCCTTATTGTGATCCTACCTACCATCTGTGCCAAGGGAATTCACTGGAGCAGAGCGTCAACTAATTTAAATTTTAAACAGATTAGTGGCTTTACACAAATGGAACGATGTTCCTTTTGATCATGCAATGTAATAATGGTAATTCAACAGACAAAACATTTCCCTGTGAAGAGGGAGTCAATTTTCCTTAAGTAAGCAGTAATGATGGAGAAAAAAAAAAAAAGCCAGGAATCTGGACATAAACCATGACTCTCCAGAATATGCAATCAGTGCAAAGAAACCTTTCAGAAATAATGTTAGTTTCTTGACAGGAATACGTTCCATGCAAAACCATCCTGACTCAAACAGCAATTTAGAGTATCAAATACAGATAAGAATTGTCACAGCTGTTTTAATTAGAAATGCATTTTTCTGGTCAAATTTCCTATGACCTTAGCCAAACACAATGCCTATCACAGACAAAAGCAAAGTCACATCCACTACTGTGACTTACCTTCATCATTTGAGGAAAGAAAAAACCTGGCCAAAAAGCTCCAACTTTTTTCCCTCTGCATTGTACAGCCTCTCAATTTCAGGAGACCAGTCTGAGTTCTTCATCACATCGTTTCCAAGGGGAAAACAGGCTGAGCCTTCCAGTTCTTTCAGAAAGTACACCAGGTCAATTACATGATCCCTTGCTCCTTTACTGCACTGCCTCAGTGAAAGGCTTACAGTCACTGCCATCACAGCATCCATTTTGACTGAGCCTAAAAAAGTCAACAGCATTCACAACAGCACCTAGTGTACCTCCAAGCAGGCCCTCACGCAGCCACATCCAATACTCATCACTGCTTGCGTGCTCGTGGCCAGCAAGGAAGGCTCCCTGAGGCGGAGCACAGCCAGCAGCTTGGCCACGGGTATTGCTGCAGCTCCAGGACACATCCTGGCCACGTCGGCTCTGGAAGCTACCTCCATTCCCTGTGACAATGACCCCCGCCCACTCTTCATGTTTTGGGTGTAGTAGGACGGCAGCAACGCAGCAGGCCTGCTCAATGCTGTTACAACGCATGGTGGCTACGTGGCCACACAGCCAAGCAGCCAAGTCCACAGCCACTGAGGAACAGACTCTGAGAAAGCAGGGTAGTTTCCTGTGCAGAGAGCTGATTGAAAAACCATTCTCATGGGCACACCCAAAATAACGACAAATATCTTTTCCTGCACTGTGTTACATGATAAGCAGCAGGTACTCGGTAACTGCAGCACAGCAGGAATACATTAATGATGTTGTTCTAACACCAAAACTTTCGCATCTTTATTCCACAGAAGTCTGAGCCCACGCACGTGTATGGATTTCTACAAGGGAGGGCACCCTATGCTCTATCCCTCACCAAGCAATACAGCAAAGACTGCAGGATAACATCTAGGGTTAAAACTGGTACAGAATCAAGTAACACGGCAGGCAGCACTAGGGTCAAGAAGCTACCCAAAGAGCAGCCTGCACTCAGCAGTTTGCTACAGTCCAATACAGACTACTGTCATTTAAATTAAGGGGAATAGGATTTTCTTGTTTGATCATTCATATAAAATAGAACAGTGTTGCAATTCGGATAGCATCACTTTTATCATTTATCTAGATATACCAGTCTATTTCTGGTTTGCTATAATGCACAGTGCTTTGTGTACCACTGATCTATGCACTCTGTACTTCTCAAGCCTTTGAGCAGCAACAGGGTTTAAAACCAAGAGTCATTACTAGGCCAGTCGTTACTTGATATCAGCACAAGATCTCACACCTAGATCAAGTAGCTTAAAAAATATATTGTTTGCACAGATATTTTAGAGGGGAAAAAATGCAGTTGATTGCAGTAACCAACTGCCACGGGAGCATCCTCACAGCCCCTCTGCCAGAGACACAGGAGCTCTGTGTTTTGCCCAAAACACAACCCAAGAAGACGCAGCCCCACAGCCATGGGACAGTGATGCTCACACCGCCCAGAGCACAAGCAACAGCCACACACAGCCTGCAGGGAACTCTGCAGGGTGACCGAAAGCAGCAAAAGGAGAAAACTGGGAGAGACCAGTACGGCAAGCAGCCTGGTGTTCATCAATGCCAACTTGTCTTACACTGGTTATCAGCTAAGGCAGCAACTTCCAAACTCAGAAGTTGCTGGAATAAACTTGTCTCTCAGAAAAACGAGCTGCCTTCAGTGCACCAAAGCGAAAATCAAGCTAGGTAATAAAAATAACTTTATTACACACTTGAGTAAACAAGCCAGGAAATAAAACTACTTTGATTTCATGTGGTAATAGTTCAGCAGGATGGAATACCTTTCTATTTCCAGAACAGAAATCAGAAATACAGATGCTAAAGCAGTACTGGATAAGAAATCGGTTCTGGCGTATAGCTTGACGCACATGTTTGGACACCTCTCTGAGGGAATTTCCTGCGTGCATTCTTTTATTTTACATGCTGAAGATACAATTGCATTCTACCTACTCACAGACGTGACTACAGAAAACAAGGAACAGAAATCTGGCGGCCTCCGAGGGCCAGCAAAAGTCACGACAGCCTCCAGCTCACTTTTCTCACGAAGTGGGAAACTTCACCCCGAGCTGACAAAGTTCAGGCAAGGAGCGAATGACACCGTGCTTTTCCCTGCCACGGAAAACCCCCCTGCCCATCAGCACTTTGTCACGGGAGCAGGGAAGAGAAAGGGAGGGGGGGAGGGAAGGGAGAAAGAGGCGCTCCCTTTCCACTGGGGAATCTATTTTTACTTTTTTCCGAAGTTGAATCCTGCGTCTACCGCCGCATGACTCACTCCGGCGATTTAAAACGCTTTCAGCTCCTCCGGGCGACAACCTGGGGAACACGGGGGGCCGCACCCCTCCCCGGGGCCGCGAGCGGCAAGGAAAAACGCGGGGCGGGGGACGAATAGAAGAAACACAGAAATAACCGGGGAGAAGCGGCAGCTCCCACGCGCGCACCGCGGACCGGCGGGGTTCCCTCCCGGCGGACGCACCCGAGCCGGGAAGCACAATGGAGCCGCCGGCGCACGCCGGCAGCGCATCCCCGCCGCGCTCCGCACCTCCCGCCGCCCCGCACCTCACCTGCGGGGCCGGGCCCGGAGCGCCGCTCCCCCGCCACCGGCAGCGCCAAGGCCAGCAGCAGCGGCAGGAGGAGCCGCGGGAGCCGGGCGCCGCTCCACGCCATCTTCCCCCTCCGCACCGCCGCCGCTCCCCGCGCCGCCAGCCCCGAGGGAGGAGGTGGGAGAAAGGGGAAAAGCGCCGCCAGGAGCAGCCGGTGCCGCGCCCGGGATGCCGCTCCTCCTTCCGCGGCGGGCAGAGCGAAGGGCGCTGCCGCCCGCCCCAGGCTTTATACGGCGGTGGGAGGACCCGGGCGGCGAGGGCGCCCGGCGGCGCAAGAGGAGCCGCTCGTGGCCTTCGCGCCCGGGCGCACACCGCCGCGGGAGGGGCGGGGCCGCCAAGCTCCGCCCTCGGGCGCCGCGGGAGCGCAGTGCTGCGCGGGCAGGGCGCGCCCCGGCCCGGCGTTGTGCGGGGATGGAGCGCGTCCGAAGGCGTTACTGCGACAAAAGCCAGCCGGGCCGGCGGTAACAGCACTGCGCGCCCGCTCTGCTTGGAAACGGCATCGCTGCCAACAACCCATCGCAGGATCGTCCGCATTTCCATATCCAAACGCCAAACAAAACCGACCAAATTCATTTTTCATGGGTGCCATCGTTTTCACCCAGTACCATGGTGGGAATGAAGGAGATGTCCTGAGATGCATTATTCCCGTGCTTTTCTTCCTGTTGCAACACAAGTTGTATTCAAAATAATAATAACTTAAGTGCTAATAAGTCACATATAATCCTAAAAGCAGATGGTGGCCTATTGACATCAGTAAGGGTTTATGCTTTGGAAACATTACTGGAGGACCAAGGGCATCATCCAAACAGAAAATTCGTGCTGAAAGAAGGACTCATGTATTTAAGATCCACCTATATAGCAGTCAAGTAGACACCTCATTTTTAATCTTAAATGCTTCTATGGGCCTACCAGATGTGATTTTTGGATCCACAGAGTGAAAAATAAGGGTGAAAGAAGGGAAAACTTGACTGTGCCATCCTTTGGTTTGGAATCTCAAGCAGAAATCAGGCCCAGCGTTACGTGCCCAGATGCTTGCATGGCTAATTGGGAGAACTGCATCAGGCAGTACGTGGCAGGGAGAGAGCACAGAAGTTCACCCCTGGGTCCCAGTAGCTCTGAGCACAGAGAAAGCCTAGGCAGGAGAAACAGGGAAATGCTGAAAATGAAGGAACCTGTCAGTGAAGCTGCAGTTGATAATTACAGGAAAAAAAATAAAAGCCCCTTTGCTTCTTGGACAATTACTCATGGCCGACTTTCTCCTGCCACCTCCATCAGGCTCACAGAGACTCAGCAGAAAACAAACATCATCTGAGACGGATGAGCACTGCTCAGTTCACATCGCTGTGTGGCTGCTTGGCCTCCAAGGAGCAGCACTGCTGCACAGCACGAGTGTTGTGCTGGCTGTGAGTAATGCCATGACCTGGGCACACTGTGAGCAGTTCTTCACTCATTTCAAGAATCAAGTTCAAATGTTAGATAAGAAACTGGGGGAAGATGGAAAAAAAATAGTTACAGCTATAGTCTTAAGGTAGAATACAGGTAAGAAACTTTTCGAAAGAGGTCCTAACAGATCAAACCTCGTCTCAGGTCTGGTAACAGTAACACTTACAGATGTAAAGAACATGTAATTACAAGGCTGACAAATAAGAAGTCATTGGAAAGGAATTAAATCACAGTAGATATGTAGAATGTCATCAACCATGAAAGAAAGGACAGATTTCCTCAATAAAGCCTGAGTGGAAAAAGAAAGACTGTTGGGCATCATTTCAGAATAGCATGGAGCTGAGGTCATGGCTCCCACGGACAGGAAGCAGGAAAGCTCAGCCCTCAGGATCGAGGGTAAAACCATCAGCTGAGCGTCACATCCATGCTCCAGGGAACTGCTCCCCACAGTCCAACCCTGGCAGCAGCACAGCTTCAATAGACAGCAGTACACAGGTCCTGGAACTACACCCTGATGTGAACACCAGTAGTTTGCAAAAGAGGAGGAGGTATCAGAGAAATCCCAGGAAGCATTTTGTTACCAAATGTTCATGTAGGCAGTAATAGAAAAGAATGAAAACTATTAATGAAAGAAGGATGTAATATGCAATAATTAAAGGAAAGGAGGAAGCTGGCAAGGATACATTTCTAATGTATGACAAAAATGGAGAACTGCAATAGAAAAAAATACATGTGCATAGCAAGTTCATGCCCAGAATTTGACTAAAGACTTCTACATTTTCTTGTTATTTTCCTTGGTCTCTTCTAAACTAATTTTATTTTAGAATTTTCTTAGAAAATTCAAGCTTTTTCCCCAGGAGAACACAGAGCTGAAAGCGGTGCATGCAAGGCAATAGATGTGGTGAAGCCATCTCCTATCCCCAGAGCTTTGCTCTGCCCAACAGAAAGGAAAATGCTTGTGAAATGCCAGCGCTGAGTGCGGCTGGCTGCAGAATGCCCAGGAGCTCTCTCTGGCCCTGCCTCTGCAGACACTGGGTCAGACGGGCTGCTTTTGTCCAGAAATACCAACTTCAAGGCCTGAGCTGGCAGCTGGAGGTTAGTGCTGTTACAGTGTTCCCAAATCTCTGAACTAAGTAGAAACTTGTCCTCAAATTAAGACTTTTGAAGAATAATATAGGCAGTGTGTTCTGTATCATGCAAGTATGCATGTTGTGCTACAGAGGTTAACTCCAGAAACAATTTGTACAAGTATACCAAGACATAGTCTTACATTGTCACCCTTTGCACCTTTGACTTCTGACCTTATCAAACCTTCATAAAGAAAAAAACCTTCCTTTTTCTCTGAAACAAAGTAATTTCTCCATGGGAAATCAATGGATTTTGTGAAGCAGACATGGCGGAGGGGAGACAACTCTCCTGTTAGTTGCGTGGATCTGAGCATGGGAGCCCAAAGGATTTTCTTGTCCTAAAACTCCAGAAACAGTAAGCAGCACCAGAAAAGGGATCGAGCAGCCACAAGCAGTGCTCCCTTCAGAAACTTACCATGAAAAGTGATTTTGTGTAAACTATCAGCCAGTTGCCAAACTATTTTTTTTTTCTTTTTTCTTTTTTTCTCTTTTCTTTTTTCACTGTGGTGCATTTTCAAAGGATCAGCAATAACATCTAGGATTCAGCTGGCAGATATTTGAGCAGAATTCTCGGGGACCTCTGCAGGAGACAACATCTCCCTGAGTTGTTTGCAATACCCATTCCTTCAGTGCCTTTTTCCTCAAATGTCCAGATACTCTTTTCTATCCCCATTTCCTTTTCCCATCTGTTTCCTAACTGCATGGAATCATCATATGGCTGGCAACTTCCATCTTCCCTAAACCACCAACAAGGTTATGTTTCAACATATGGATAACTATTGCAACGTGGAATGGAAGCACACATAGTTCATTACATTGCAAGCCCATCATTGCAGCCAGATGGAAGCAGGTTCCATCACAGGAAGCTGCTTTCTGAACTATAAAAGTTGTAGTTATGCTTCATAAAGATGAAATTGCAGCAAGGGAGGAAGGACCTTACTCTGCCCATGTAAATCAGCAGCAGTCAGAGCTTTGTTGCTTCAGATGTGTTTAATCAGCAGTCACCTGCAGTGCAGTTAACGAGGAGGAAAAGTGAAAGGCATAGGAAATCAGTGATGAAAGTGGCAAAGCCTTAGCAGAATTTACAAAGGAATAGCAGCTCTCTTTTAATATTCACCCTTTGTTCATTACATCCATCCCACGAAATGAATGAAGTTGCCATGTGCTGCAAACTGAGCTAAAGAAGAGAAGAAAGGGAAGATGAGCTTTCCCCATCTCCAGCATTTCAGGCAGAAACATCACCTTTCCCTGAAGAAGTGACTGCAAGGCCTTTCTCTCCAAAGCACTTCTTCAGCCCTCCTGCACTCAGGCATGGTTCATCTTCCACAACGACTTTTGCAGACAAGCTGTAAAACCTAACATGTAAAACAAGCCAGGCAAACCAGAGATTACTTACATCTTCTTCTAAGAGACCTTTTTCATATCTTCCAGCTACTTTTTATTATATTCTAAGAAAAACATAAAACCACAGAATGTGCTCCTGCTGGGTTTTGCTTGTCCTTGAACTCATCTAACTCTGCACATCTAAGAGTCCAAACCTCCTTCACTCAAGAGCCCCACTAGAATATCTTCTTAACAGATGCTGAAATGAGAAAGCGCTGAGCTACCTTGCCTAATATTACAACATTACTGTCCATCATCAGGCAATAATAAAAGGGAAAAAAAAAAGAAAAAAAAAAAATACAAGATTAGTCTGTGGAAAACCATGGGACAGAAGGAATTGTCAGCAATTCCTTCACTGGCAGCAATACTCCAAGAATGAAAAAGAAACATCATGCAAGTAAGGTTATTAGTTTCATGTCATAAATACTTGATAACCTGACTGTTTCCCCTTGAGTTTAGATTAGTAATTCATACCTATTTTTCCAAATAAATGATTAACCTTTTTGAATGATAAATTCAACTGATCAGTATTTTACATGAATTAGGGGTATTATCTGAAAATATCAGGGATTCGTGATAGAATAATACTAAAAAAAATAATATTCCAAAGTAAAATTTGAAAAATCTCTTTTCAGTTATAGCAAATCACGTTCTGCAGGTATATCTCACTGAAATGATTACATCTGTTTTCACTCCACAAGCCTATGAAATACTGGAGCTAAGCTAGAATGAAATGAACAGAAATACATGGGTGTTGTTGGTTTCTTTAACAAATACATCAATATGAGCTTAAAGGCCCATCTGGCAGTAATATAGCATTTAAACATGCATCGCATTGCCTGACCCAGTGTGTGCATGTGATTCCTTAACAAGGGCCTCTTAAGTAGTTCAACCCCGATGAGAAATCTTCCATAGCCATTTTATTTTCAAAGAATCAGGCTAAATGTTACTGAAATTCTACTCTAGCTGTCTGAAAATAGTTTCTCTTTGGTTGCCTCCCTCTAATTTATCCTCAGCTCCAATAAGAACAGAGCTGCCACCCCAGTCTTGTTATTATGGGCGCGATCCAGTCGGTGGCCGAGGGGCCCCACACTGCTCAGAGCCACTCATTTCAGGGGATGTCCAGCACCTTGCACTGCTGAGCACGGCGTGCATCATTCAGGCTATATTCATCATGTCTCTCCCAAGCCATCCAATCAGAAATCACTTTGTTGCTTTCGCTCATTCATAATTATAGCCATGAACAGCCCAAATGAGCAAAAGATTAATAGTGCTAGCAAACATTTCCAGGGTATAATCAGCTGTCGACCCATAATTACTCAAAAGATCGAATGAGTGGCTTTGAAATTAC